GCCACCCAAGAGGAAGAGAGGGAGGACCTGCCGCCGAATTGCTGCCTCTCATCATTTCCCCCCTTCCTGCCTCCTCCCCCCATTTGGGGCGGCAGAAAAGCTGGAGCCGGCCCTGCCTGCAGACACTTAAATGTGTACGTGTGTAAAGTCTACCATGTCAATTAATGTGGATTCATGGAAGATAAGATGACAACTCATGTGCAATGTTCCCTCTAATCTTTTCCATCCATGTGTGGAATGAATTTTGTTATGTGCACCAATATCAAGGTAATGTGCGGATGTGCGCCACAAGTAGAAAGAAAAAAACCTAGATATAATTTTTTTTTTAAAGATACCATAGGAATAATTACTCCAGCCATGACAGGTTAGGCATTTTAACTCACTTATCAAAGAATTAAATTTAAACGTAAGAGAAATAAAAATTATGAAATGCATAGACTAGTCAAAAAACTTAAATAACAGCACTTTGAAAGAATAAATTTACAGAGAATATATGTGCATTGCAGGAAGTATCAAGAAGTAACAACAACAAAAATAATACAAGTTATGTGTTGGGAGGTGAGTGTGAAAGACTCTGTGTGTGTCTCTCTCTCTCACACACACTCACTCACTCTATAGGGTGGGTGGGTGTGTATGTGTGACGTAAGGAGCTTACATCGACCTAACCTTGTCAGTGTCCACGCTACAGCCTTGCTCCCGCCAATGTAAGTTGCCTACTAAACCGACATAATAACTCCACCTACATGAGAGGCATAGCGCTTATGTCAGTTTAGTTATGGCGACACACTGTACACTGTGCGTTACTGACATTGGTTACTGGCCTGTCATCCCAGGGAGTGGGGGCTCCAGCAGGAGTCCAGCTGCCCACCGGGCTCCAAGCTGGGCTGCTGCCTGGGGTTCCTGCCAAGAGCCTGGCTGCCCCTGCCCAGCTCCCCACTCGCAGCAGTTTTGCCTCCCGGACTCCCGGCAGAGCTGAGAGCTTGGCGGGGGGGCTCTGAGTCCCCTACACTGTTCTTCTTAAGTTGGTGGAACGGCTCCTCGTGAGGAGGCGCATGACTGATAGAAGGAGAGTAGTGTGGACATGTACCACTGCAGTAATTACTGGTCATCCAACATAGGTCTGCGTAATTTAGTAGTGTAGACATGCCCTGAGGCTTGAAGACACACTTACAAGGGAGGCAGAATGTTTTAGTCGGTAGAGCACAGAATTTGGAGTCAAGATCTGGCTCTAGTCCTGTCTGAATATAAGTACTTACATGGACCCCAGTACCATATTATCTAAATCAGGGATGAGCAAACTACCGCCTGGGGGCCACATCTAGTCCGCGAGACCGGCCTGCCCGAGCTCCTGGCCTGGGATGCTCGTCCCTGGCCCCTCCCCCACTGTTCCCCCTCACCCGCAGCCTCAGCTCGCTCGCTCCACCGCTGGCACAATGCTCTGGGCGGTGGGGCGCTGAGCTCCCGGGGCAGCGCAGCTACAGAACCCGGCCTGACCCGGTGTTCTGTGCTGCGTGGTCTCATCTAGCCTTAAATTATTAATGTATGAATATCAATATTAAATCAAGATTCCTTCAAAATGTTTATATTCTAAAATACTGCTGAAGTCAAAAACTTTTAACAATCCTTCCACTTACTTGATATACAATGTAATTTAAATGAGTAGTTTGGCTAGTTACCAGAGACTTGCATACATACAGAAAAAGTTCCGTAAGCTAGAAATAGGTTGTTTTCTTTTGGTTTTTTTCTTTTCTTTTTTTGCGTAATTGTCGGGTATACGTTCCGGACTTAAGCAAAATTCAAATTACGCAAGGCATTCCGGAACGAAACACTTGCGTAAGTTGGGGAGCGTCTGTAATGCCCTAATTTGATATAATAGGGATTTATATTGAGAAAAATAACTTCTTTCTCTACTTCTTACATCACCAGGTACCTGATGGTTTTTTTGCACACTTCTATGCCATCTGTGAGCATGTCAGTCCTGTTTTGGCATGGGGCTTTTTGGGACCTAGAAACTCTCTTTATGATTTATGCTGCTTCTTTAAGGTATGCATCCTTTTTGTAATGATCATTTATCTAACATAAAAAAGCACCTATCAGATGGGAGGATCTTACTTAAAGGAACACCATTACGATAAAAATAATTTATATAAAAAAATCTTTGCTAGTCAATATTCATCCTGATTTTCAGTTGTTATACCAGAGATTAATGTAGCCTAGTGCCACAAAAAACAGGGATTAATTTGCCCCATACTAGAAAAAAAATCCCTACCTATGTTGCTAATTATACTGTAAATCAGGAATGAGGAACCTTTTTTCTATCAGGGGCCATTGAGCCCAGAAAAAATCAGTCATGGGCCACATGCAGCCCCGTGGGAGGGGGCGAGGGGTGCAGTGGCTCAGGGCTTCCCCTAGGCTCTGGGGTGGGGCCAGAAATGAGGGGTTCAGGGTGCAGGAGCAGGCCTCTGGGCTGGGGCAGGAGGTTGGGGTGTGGGAGGTGGTGAGGGGTCCGGCTGGGGGTACAGGCTCTGGGGTGGAGCTGGGGATAAGGAGTTTTGGGTGCAGGAGGAGGCTCGGGGCTGGGTCGGGGTAGGGGTCTGGGAGGGCATTAAGGTGCGGGAGGCGGTTCCACCCTGGGGCAGGGGGTTGAGGTGTGGGTGGGGGTGCAGGCTCTGGGAGGGAGTTAGGGTATGTTTGGGGGGGGGGTTCCAAACTGGGGCAGTGGGTTGGGACGCGAGTAGGGATACAGGCTCAGTCGCAGGCCACACACAGCCCCGCGGGAGGGTGGGGGGTGCCGAGGCTCGGGCCTTCCACCCCACAGCGCGGAGACTTGCCGCGGGTCAGATTAAATTAAAAAGCAGGCCGGAGGTTCCCCACCCCTACTGTAAGTTATTAACACACTAAGAATTTTCAGAACATAGGCTCCCCAGTCTTGAAAACACTTATGAGTCTGTGTAACACTTTGTACATGAGTAATCCAGCGGAAGTCATGAGACTACTGGTATACATAAGTGTTTTCTTGCAACATTAGGACAGTAATTTGCAATTCACTATTTATGGCATTGGTCTAATTTTTGCACTTCGTTATGTGTGAACAGTAAAACTAGATTGGTCAATTTTACGTATTTATAGTCTGTTCCCTTTCTTGTTCTTCCATGCACTAGCAAAGTGCTGGAAGTTTTCTTGTTTGTTTATTTCGAACAGTTCAGCTCAATGCAACTTCTTAAAAAAAATATTAATCATGAACATTTCTATTCATATTAGGTTGGTTTTGGAGCCTAAACCTACCTGACAGTGTCTATTTTTAAAGTTTTTAAACAGTCAAGAGAGTTAGTAAATGAATGTTGGTAGTTAGACACGGTAAGAAATTGCCCAATAAATTTATGTGCATATTTTATATGTGCTTCAGAAAGATTATGTATAAATGAGGAAAAATATATAACATTGTATAATTAATATTTAACAAAACTCTATACATTGCTATAAGTAAATACAGGTTTTTCTTTTTTATCCACTAGGATCAAGTTCTTTACTTCCTCAAAGACATTTTTGACTTTGAAAAGGTGCGATATTCAACTATGGAGAATTTAGCTGAAGATCTTATGCAATTGCTAATGCGTCGCACTGAACTTTTAATGGCCTACCTTGGAGCCGATTCACTACGGCATGTCAGTGGTTGCATAAATGGTCATGGACACATCGTGGCCAATGGGCTTTTGGAAGAAAAAGTACAATAAGCTTAAAAAACCTAAATTGAGTGCACCTTGCCTTTTTTCCCCCTCCAATGCTGTCATTGCTATTTTTGAGCAAACATCTGAATATGTAACTGTGTTGCTAAATATGGAATGGACTCAGGGAGATTTAAAAAATAAAATAGGAAAAGAACTGGTGAGCATATTACAGTATATATACCTAAATTTAAAATCACAGCTCAACTATCTCTGTATTTATATATAATGTACCCCAAAGTTTTTTTCTGCAATATTTGGATAAAATTTATTTATGAAATACTGTACATTTGCCACAGATATTATGTGATATGTGGTATATGGAGTTATTAGATGAGTTTGTCTTTAAGCCTTATTATATGAAATGTTCAGTACAAACTCTGCAATGTGTTTTATGTCTAGAAAGTGTTTCAGCCAAGATATACACATCTTTCAACTTATTATGTGATACACCTGCCCCTTCCCCCCCCCCAAAAAAAACACCTTTACAAAATATTTAACTACGCTCTAAAATTGTGTATGTGTATGTAAGCAGTCATTTTGTATTGAAACATAATGGAGTGAATGCAGTCACCATTTGGGCAGGTGAAAATAACACGAAAAACTCAATGCTAATTGGTGTTGGCTTAAAATATGTAAATACATCATCACTGAAGTTGACATTTGAAATCACTAGTGTGAGATCACTGTTTGGTATATTCTAAAAGTAGTGACAGTTTTTTCAGGTTAATTAATTGGTGTAAAACCCATCTTTCTAGGTTTTTAAAATGATGCGGTTATGAATAAACTAGTATCATTCTTGGTTCAAATGTAGCATTTTAACTATATTTTAAAGTGAGGCTGTATGATAAAACCTAAAGACATGTTGTTTCTCAATTAAATCAGTCTCGGTCTTTTCTTTCAAAAAGCCAACCTTCGGTTTGGGAGAGGACTTTATATATGAGTTTTGGTAGGTGTGTGTGTGTGTGTGTGTGTGTATCTGTACACACTGGTGCTCAGTTCAGGGAATCTTTTGTGTAGTCTTGTCTTGAATTTCAGAATAAAAAGTTTGAGGAAAAACTTTTTCATGGGTATCCCTTTGAAAGAATCCCCAAAGACCCTTTCTATGGTACTTTATAAGAATAGAGTATTTCAGCATCTGAGTGATACACAGAATAAATTTTTAGCTTTTAAAATAACATTTTAGATTAGAGTTCCAGGTTCTGATACTTAAGGCTCCAAAGCTGAAAGTGTTAAGTTTAATGTTGCATTATAGTCCAAAATCAAAAGTAAGAGAGTTGAGTAAGATTTTTTTTATTATTATTTGTATTAATGTGCCCTTCCACAATTCAGTTTTTAAAGGAAAACAGATTAAAACATTTTATTTATATATATATAAAAATATGGAATAACCTGTAGCATCTTAATGTGCTGGCACCAGCATTTGTGACTTCTTGACAGTAGTTGCTAATGCAGACAAGCACTATTGTCACCATATGCTAGATTGTAAGTGGTTTAGTAGCTACTCTCTTTACTCTGCACTTTCTGGCCCGGATCCTTAGATGTGGACAAAATGTGCTTTGTGCTCTCTTGGTCTCATAGCATATATTAGAGCAACTTTCAGATTGCTGTAACTTGTGCTGGCTGCCAACTGCCATATGGTCCAGTACAGTAGCTGGGGATCACCAGGGTGCTTTGGCCCCAGGTGGCAGGACTTCGGCCCTGGGACTTGCAAAGTCTTAACGCCAGCCCTGGCAACCCCATTAAAAAGGGGTCGCGACCCACTTTGGGGTCCTGACCGACAGTTTGAGAACCACTGATGTAGAACATAGATAAAAATTAAATATATTAATTTTTAATCCTTTTAAACCTGTAGAAGCTGGTGGCAATCAGCATCCCACAGAATTAGGATTAGGCTCTAAATCAGGTTCACGTGTTTCCTGTTCTGATGATGTCACTATCTTGCTTTTCAGTGAGATGGTCACCCACTGTGTGCTTCAGATAGTATGTAGCAAGTAGTACTTATGTGAACTTCCAATAAAAACTGTGCTGAGGAAAATGGATACAAATTTGGAGAGAAGGAGTCAGTGTTCATGGATGCAGTTATTCTGGACTGTAATTTTTTTCTTTCTAGTTCATCCTACAGCTGGCTACTTCTATCACAGAAATTAATTCCTTTGCATAGCTGCCTAGAAGAAAGTACATAAAGAAGATCTGTTGCTAACCAGCCACATATATCTGAAGTGCTTTCTACCTGTGCCTGCTATCCTGGGAAGCAGGAATGCCAAAGTTACACTTCAGCATTTATGGTATGTCTCCTACTGCACTACAGTAGTTTATATGTAGTGTTTCATAATATCAGAACTGAATTTATTTGTTCAAACATGCTACTTTTGAATGCAACTTTCGATGCTAGTTGGAGCAAGTTACATGCAAAAGCCATATGGTACTGCTAAGGTCAGTCAGAAACATTAAATGATACAAGAATTAAGATATTTATATTAGCTGTGATTTAGTTGTAAACTCACTTTTAATAGGTTAATGATTATTCTACTTCACTTACGTAGTCTTTGGTTTTTACAAACTTAGCATGTATCAACTTAAGTTGGCTAATGGTAAGCATACTGGTGAACTGTCTACTGCCTAAATGAAATGTTTTTATCCAAATATAACAATTCAATGAAAACACTTTAGAAAAAAAATAATTCTCATTTTGAGTTATACAATGAATTTCCATATATAAAGCAAAAAAATACCATATATTTGCTCTAATGCTCATTCATTATATGTAGTTGGACCAGCCTGATTACATGTGTCTAAATTTTAATTAGGTTTTCCTCTAATGTGCATGTGTACTTCAATATTTTATTTGCAGCCAGCTTTGGCACCAATTAAACTTGTAGGTATTGGGGTTTTCTTCTCAAACTCTTTTTTTTTTAATTTAAATATTTAAAAGAAAAAGCAGGGAAGCAGAAACTATTAGAACATGTTTCATTTAGGTGCATTAATTTAAACTGATAGTATGGCCCTTTTTTGTTTAATTCTACACATTAAACAATCCCAAGCATGATTTTCAGCATGGTAAGCTGATGATCTAGCAAAAGCCTAACAGAAAATTGGTGTCATTTAGTCCTGTAGTTTAAAAGTTATTACTCCTTTTTCTATCAACCAAAACATAGGTGAAGAAAAGACATTCATGACATGGTCTAGATAAGTGGCATGACGGACCTTCATAGACTTTGGAGTGTTGGATGGGGCTTAACCCCCACCAGCTGCAAGGCAAGAGAAAGAACCCCAGTTAGTCATGCTTTGCATCTGGGGGGTAATTAATAGCTCTGCCTCCTTTGGCCAGGAGGCAAGAGGAAGCTTGGTTGGAGAGTACTTGCAGAGGAGACAGGTCTCTCTGGCAGAGAGAAGCCCTGGGATAGGGTTTAATAGCTAGGAAACAATGGAAGAAGAACATAGGAGCAGGTTAGGTTCCTGCAGCGGAAGCCCTGAGGTAAAGTCAATAAGGGAACTACAATGAAGCTTCAGAGGGGTGGAAGGACATTAGTTTGAAAACTTCTTTTGATTTTTATTTGATTTGTTTGTGGTAGCCTGGAAGAGGTTTTGACTTTTATGTGACATGGCTGGAGAGCCAAACCACTGACCATCAAGAGGGGATTTGGGGGATGAAACAGGCTGGGAGAGGCCACTGCAGTCAAAGGAAGAGCCCAGTAGGGGAGCATTAGAGACAAGGCCACTTCAATCAAAAATGAGATGGTACTTATGAGGTGAGGGTGCACTACTACAGAGTGTAAGCCAATATCGGTGTCTGTGAGAGTCTGAAACAGTGACTATGAGGTGTGAATGTTCCTATCCTCTGTTAATTTTATTGGTGTCAACTCTTAACAGCTAATGGGAAAGGGGATGGAAGTGAAGCCTTCAAGGGATGAGAATTGCAAGTTGCTGCAAGGAAAGAAAGCCGAAGGACAGAACAGAGAATGCATGCAAAGAAAGAGAACAGAAACGGGTGGCCTAAAGGAAAGTGGGTTTTCTCACTGAATAATGACAGCATATGAAAGTTATAAATAAAAGTGTAGTTACTACATAAACGATATTTTTCCTTTATACAAACCTCCCTAGTGTCTAGATTGAATAGTGTATGAAGTTATGAATTTATATCCCAGACCATAAATTGATATGGAATCCAGTGATCTCCTCTAAATTAGTTTGACACCCCTCCTGCTCTAAGCCATCATACTTGTTAGTAGAAAGGAGGAGCAAAGATTACTAATATTTTTTAAAGATCTCAGATTCCACAGTGATGGGTACATTATAAATAGTTTTGTGGGGCAAAAAGTGTCATTTTAACAACCTAAATAGATGGCACGTTCCCATCTAATTCTTGTAGCCACACACAGTAACACAAGGTCACAGGACATTTTATTTTAACCCTCTCTTTCAAATTGCTCATACCTATCTAAAAATAAGTCAAGTTAAATCATCCCATCTTCATTTTAACCCCAAGGTTTAGTTGAGAGATATTGGTTCAGCCACTTGAGTGAAGAAAGGATGAGGAATTCTTGCGTCCCCTTCCCCTCCCCCTCACTTTTTATTTTATTTATTTATTTATTTTAATTTCCAGAGAGTACAAGTCCCGAAGGGACCATTGTGATCATTGTCTGACCTCTTATATAGCACAAGCTCTAGAACTTCCCCAAAATAATTCCTAGAGCGGATCTTCTAGAAAAAGATCTGATCTTCATTTAAAATTCAGTGATGGAGAATCCACCACAACCCTTGGTAAATTGTTCCAACTGTTACTTACTTTCAGTGTTAAAAAACTATGCCTTGTTTCCAGTCTGATGTTCAAACTGCCAGCCGCACTATCATTTATTATTCTAAGGTGTATGCAACCAAGTCAAATCCACTGTACTAAGCACAGTACAACAGATAACTAGGAAGACAGTCCTTCTTGCGGTAGATAGATGATAATCTAAGAAAGGAAGAAATCTACTATAGATAGTAGAGTTTCAAGCAATGAGGAGTATATTTCAAATTCAAGTTTTAAAGTTATATTTGTGCATCTAGTACAGAAAAGTTCTTAATTTCCAGGGCAAGGAAGACAGGTACCGTGTGTTCCCTAAATGGTTGTTTTGGAATAATATATATACTCTTCATGAGGTAACTAACTTACTCCTATAGAGCTGGCACTGGCTGGACTCTTCCCCACTCCACCACAGTTAACTGTCACATACTATTATTAGCTGGCTGCTTTCATGGGCTCCAGGCTATAAAATGCCCCAGGGCTTTAGGGCCTGAGGCCCAGAGCACAGTTGCTCACAAAGCCTACGCCAGTGAGTTTTCTGCGCGTGCCGTGGGGCAGAACTTTGTGTGGGAAGAGGCCCGGAAAGGCTGGCTGGGGGTGAGTATTTTCTGACTGTTTAGACGACACTAGGGTGAGAGGCGCACTGGGTATCTACCTGCCACGGCCTCACCTCTGCCCAGCATGGCAGGTGCCACTTGGCCACGGCACGCTCAGTTTCGCTGCACTGGTCCCGTGCTTGTCTCACCAGCCAGGCTTCCTTGGGTCACCTTCCCCCCCTTTCAAGTAACCATGGCTGGGAGGCCGGCCCCGGGGGAGCCTGCCCGGGAACGCTTTGCTCCCGAGAGCCCCCGGTTATTTATAGCCTGTGGTGCTTCCAGCCCGAAATAACCCAGCCGCCGTGGCTGGGCGGGCTGGCCCCCTGCGGCGCGGCCGGGGGCTTGGCTCTGCCCCAAGCGCGCTGAGTCGGTCTGTGCCGGAGGGGAGGGGGCCGCGGCGGGCCCTGCCTGCCTGCGTGTGTCGGGACAGCTGCAGCCGGGCCGGGCGCGCCTGGAATGCGGGCGCGGGCTGCGCACCAGGACTTTTATGGAAACT